AACATTCCTATGGAATCTACGAGGTTAGTGACTGCCATAGCTTTTAAGGTGGTGTGCCACGCCCCACTAAGTATATCAAAAAAACATTTTTAGCAAACCTTATTTATATGGATCGATAGCCTAGATCTCCTGGTTTTCACGGGAGTGATTTGAGCCTGATTCGTTTTCTTTGCTCTGAGTAATAGTTGGTGAAAGCACAGCCATCAAAAGCGGAAAATGGGAAAAACGTGTTCTTGGATGACCTCTAATTTCACAGTTTGGAGGTCTTTTGAAGCGGGATTCCCGAGATGGACAAAGAAGGAGTAGTGTTTTGTCTTGAGTGCAAAAACGGATAGCTAATTCGCCTTTAAAACAAAGTTAATCATTTGGAAAATAACCATTTCACTTAGGTAGCCTAGGATCTTGAATCTTCAGAATTCGCTCAAACTTTGTCTACAGGGGTTAATTGACATGCTAAATATGAATATGATACGAATATCATGTTATCACTATTAACAGATTACCCAGCTACGACCCCCTCCCCTTTCGACTCCTCAATACGAGCCTTCAGCTGTGGCGTGCCACACCCCACGTTTGACCCTGGTGATAACCTATCCGAGAAGCTTGTGTTCGAATAAATGGAGCTTATTCTTGGTACTCGGCTCCCACTCGTCAAAAACGGTATCTCCTTTGTTTCCCAAAAACGATTTCCAGCCGGCTTCCAGACGATCTGTGCCGGGCCCTGCTCAGGACCCTCTTATACGCACTCCCTCCCTTGAAGGTATCTATCGACCCCCTCCCCCCTCTCCACTTCACATACTTTTTACGCTCTTACTGTAGCCTGCATTATTTAATATCAAAGAATGTCAGCGGAAATACTTCCAGACTAAGTGATAATTAGTAATGCTTGATCGTTCAAAACCTCTTAAAAAGGAAAGCAGAAAAATTCTTCAAAGATTGTACTAAATCCGATCGCTAGAAGAAGAATGTTGCAAAGGAGAACATCAATACATCTCATAACGGCATTTGTGCTCTCCTCAGTTAATTGATTATCTTACGCATTTATTTCCTAATGACAGATAGTTCTTGAATGTTTGGCATAAGCTGTTCGTGTTTCAGTATTGCTGATTACGAAATCACACTGCTTAACAGGAAATCTCCATAGGGTTGAGCCAGACCTCGCGGCGTACGCCGCGTTCGCTCCTATGATGAAATATACCGAGCGTACCTGCGTACGTCACGTACGCCCATACGCGGCGCACTCTGGCTCAACCCATAGTTTAAGGCATACGTGTGCGAAGGGGGAATACGGCCTCTCCAGGGTGAAGGGGGTATGAGGGCCGCCAAGGGAGGGAGGAGCGGCCACCGCTGGCAAGGTGCGCCGACTGAGGGGGGGGGGAGGCTGCGCCAATGTTCGCATTGCTTCTCACTCTTTTCTTCTTGTGTTCACTTCATTCATATAAAATCATGAAACTATCAGCATTATTGAAATTGAGTTTAGTAGCATCTTATTCATAACATCATTATTGTGATTATTAAAAACTTATATGCGGGTCCATAAGAGATATGTCGGGAATTAGCCGCCTGTTGTTCACTTCTGGGGAACAACGAAAAAGCCTGGAGAGAAAATTATATGCAAAGCTTTTGTGTATATATGTCAGTGAACTCACTCAAGTATTGCTGGCATAATAAGTGAAATAATAAATGAACTTTGATGATCGGTGCATAGCAGTGGCGGTCCAAATTTTTTTCGGGGGGGGGGGGGGGGGCGCGACTCTTTGGGGTGCTTCTCAAAATTTTTGCGGGTCCCCGACCCCTAAAATCTGGAAAAAGGGGGCGTGGCTGACGCCACGCCCCCGAAAAAAATTCTTTATAAGGCTAAAATGAATTTTTTCAAAAATTTTAAAAATTATTTTAATTATTTTCAAGTGCAAACAAGTCGTTTGCACATTTTTACAACCCATATAGGTAAGTTTCAAAAATTTCGCGACCCATTCTCGGGGGGGGGGGGCGCCCCCCCCCCTCGGTCCGCCACTGATGCATAGTTGAATTGCAATCTTTTTAGCAAGGGGTAAATTTTCTAAGCAGATGGCGGAATCCATGAAAAGTCATTGATTGATTCCATAAATAGTTATTGTTCCAACTTATAATACTATTTCTAAACTCTGGCAAAGATCGTAACGTTAGCGTAGAAAAGCAGGTGCAACCAAGAACACGTATTACATTGAAGGCTTAGTGTAATCAGGGTCAGTCTTGCTGTCAAAATGCTATAGCTACGAGGATCGTGGAGTCTTCGACAATCCGCCTACTTGGAGGATGACATCGAGGACGATGGACCGCCAGAAATGTGTTTTTCTACGTTGGAGCACTATACAAGAGTGGAGAACAACCGTATATAATTAATGGCGCTTGATTCTCCTAAAAAATTTTGTTGTCCATTGAAGAAAAGTGAGAAACTTAGATGGTCTTAGAAGGAATACTCAGTCATAATCTAGCCTTCGAAATTTATGTAATGAATAAAATTGAATGATGGAAGTTGGAGAAACTGAAGATATACAGCAACCAACGGCTGATTTTCGCGATAGAGCGCGAATTATGATTGAAGCAGGGCTTCTTCTTTCTTCCGTAATCATCCAAATTTTGTACGAGTGGAGTTCGACAAACAGATAAGCAAGTGTATTCAGCCTGTCTACCAAAGATTTACTATATTCCTGCACCTCGGAGCATAACAACACCCTCTGAGCCATTCAAAGCTGTCTAAACCTTAAAGTATTCAGAGCTGAGAGACAATACATGCCTTACAGTATAATCAAGTTTATGAAGGCTACGATAATTTGAAAAGTTACTAAAGAGTCTAATTCTCACGCATCGTCAACTACTCAGATAATCGCCGGGGGCAGGCGGTTCGCGAACTCGCGCTTTTCTGCAAGCGGTCAACAGAATTTTCGGGCGTGGCCAGACCTCAGCTGGCGGCACTTCGTTTACGGTCGCATATTCTGCCAGCGGGCAGCAATACGCATTTTCTGCAAGCGCTCGGCAAATAATTTCTTTCAGCGAGAGCTGGCCAAACTTTCAGCAAGCGCTCGGGCTCTTTTTGAGCAGTTTCGTGCATACGCCGAGCACAAGCTCAGATAATCGCCGGGGGCAGGCGGTCCGCAAACTCGCGCTTTTCTGCAGGCGGTCAGCAGAATTTTGGGGCGTGGTCAAACCTTCAGCGGGCGGCACTTCCTTTACGGTCGCATATTCTGCCAGCGGGCAGCAATACAGGATTTTTTGCAAGCGCTCGACAAATAATTTCTTTCAGCGAGCGCTGGCCAAACTTTCAGCAAGCGCTCGGACTCTTTTTAGGCATTTTCGGGCGTACGTCGAGCGCAGGTAAGACTCTGTGTGGCAGAGATGTCACCGTTGGTTTAATTACTCAAGTTTGAGGTACTTTCTCCCAGCGGAAAGTACCTGGGGGTTGCGCGGTCCTCCACAAAGGACCGTGCGGCCCCCGAAATTTTTGCATATTCTCGCGGAAAGTCCGCGAGAATGCGGCCACTGCGCCGCAGCTAATCCATAAAGAAACCGCAATTGTTCTTCAAACATTCGTCTTTAATTTCGCCAACTTTCTTCCAAATTTCTGCAAGCGGACGGCAAAAAATCAACGAACTATTTTGCCGGTGCGCGCTTGCTCAAAATTCGCATGGCCGCCTGCCCCCGGCGGTTATCTGAGAGTAAGGCCCTCTATGGCAGAGGTGTCACCGTTGGTTTAATTACTCAAGTTTGAGGTACTTTCTCTCAGCGGAAAGTACCTGGGGGCTGCGCGGTCCTCCATAAAGGACCGTGCGGCCCCCGAAAATTTTGCATATTTTGCGGCCACTGCGCCCCAGTTAATCTATGAGAAAACCGCGATTGTTCTCCAAGCATTTCTAAAATTGCTAAAATTTTTCCAAATATCTGCAAGCGGACCGCAAGAAATCAGCGAACTATTTTTTCGGTGCCCGCCGCCCATAAATCGCACGGCCACCTGCCCCCGGCGATTATCTGAGTAGGTCCCATAGACTGACGGCGAATTTAAATTAAATCTCGAAGGCTAAATTATGACTGAGTATTCCTTCTAAGATCATCTGAGTTTCTCACTTTTCTTCGATGGAAAACAGAATTTTTCCAGGAGAATCAAGCGCCAAATTATATACGGACGGTTGTCCTCCACTCTTGTGTAATGCTCTAACGTGGAAAAACACATTTGTGGCTGTCCTTCGCTTTCCATGTCATCCTCCAAGTAGGCGGATTGTAGAAGACTCCACGATCCTCGTAGCTATGGTATTTTGACAGTAAGACTGACCCTGATTACATTAAGATATAATACGATATAATACGATATAATATAATACGATATAATACGATATAATACGATATAATACGTGCTCTTGGTTGCACCTGCTTTTCTACGCTAACGTTACGATCTTTGCCAGAGTTTAGAAATAGTATTATAAGTTGGAACAATAACTATTTATGGAATCAATCAATGACTTTTCATGGATTCCGCCATCTGCTTAGAAAATTTACCCCTTGCTGAGAAAAATGCAATTCAACTATGCACCGATCATCAAAGCTCATTTATTACTTCATTTATTATTTTAACGAATACTTCAATAACTTTATTTTAATAACTTTATTGACATATATACACAAAGGCCTTGCAAGTAAATTGCTCTCCAAGCTTTTTCCTCGTTCCCCAAAAGTGAACATTAAGCGGCAACTTTCCGACGTACTTCTCAGTCAAATAAGCTTTTGATCATCATGGTACTTATATTATGAATTAAGATGTTACTAAATTTGATTTTAATAATGCCGACAGTTCTAAATTTTGCTTGAAAATGTTAATTTCTTAGTCTCCTTCTTCAAATTTTTTCATCGGCCGTGGGTGAAGGAGCCAGCTGGGTTTCGGCCAAGGGGTGAAGTAGGAAAACATTTTTTTCACATGTATGTTTCAAGGTTATTGAGAGTAGAATTTGTGACGACATGATTTTTCCAGACAGCTCTTCTATCTCTTTTGAAAAAAATTCCCTGGCTGCTCTTCCTAGCACTTGATGATCTACGAAAACAACAGCATCGAACAGTGCTTACTGAAATCTTGTATGTGTGATGTGTGCAAGAATAAGAAATTGGGTCGAGAACAGTAATCAAAAGGTTCGGGTTGATGAACTGTGCGCAACGCTTCTGTGAATTTAGAATACATTCATTAGTTAAGGTGCTGCGTATTTTGGTGATTTGCGTGATGTCGTGGGAATGGAATGTCGCGAACGCAAAATTCCCAAAAATCCGCAACATTCATGAAACTTTGCACGTTTTGTGAGCGATAGTGTATGTCATGTTTAGAGTAATAAGATGATGCTTTTTCAGCATGGGATATTTTGATACCGACGTTCTTAAATGTCTAGTTTCGCTACTTACCTTCTTCGAAGTAATGCATAGATGCATTGTACAGTGAAGAAGTATCTAAAAGACTCTCGTGATTGCTTTATAAATGTGTGGCCACAGTTCCTTATTTCATACAGTTACGAAGCAGCTTTTTTGCGTCAGAATACAAGCAGTGAGATTTTCTGCAAAAAACTCAATATGAACTGCTGCCTACGTACAATCGATGTCATATATCGGTACCTCAAATTTGCTTTTTTTTGGAAGGTCAAGCCTCTAAAAGTAGTGTCTCACCAAGATTGAAGTAGTGCGAGTTTCCACATAACTCGATAGAGAGCCTCCCGAGCAGGCGACAGCCTCAAATCTAAGTGGATCCGGGCCCTTCCACATGGAGTAATTTGCCTTCGAAGTGGCTCGCAGAACGCGACTTGGGCCGCACGCCGACGTCCCCGGCCCCCCCCCCCCTGCCTTGGCACAGCCTACGCGATTTCATCGCAACGAGATTTGTAAAGTTGGACAGGTGTTCCACGCCGCGCTGTTAAGTGTGTGGATCCCGACGCGTTAGTGATGGCTGTTCAGCGCGACGAATCGCTATACACTTCGACATGACTAGTTCACTTGGGGAAACCCTCGCGATTTTGCCAAATCGGCGCGATGTCGCGTCGTCCATTTCCGGCGAGCGACGGGTCGACCATCACGCCATTTGCGAACTGCATTGAGTTCTACCACAAAATTTATTGCAGTGATAAATTATGACTCTCATTCTTTCAGACTGTGGAGAGCCGTAAAGATTCATTTGTGAGTCACAAGTGCACATGATCCGTTTCAGCTTCACTCATCCATGTCCATGGTGTTGCTGCCACCGTGGCAAAGGCTAGGCTGAGAAGGCACAATTTGTCCGTGTTGCTTCCACTGTGCTTTCAACGGGGTTTTCTAAATAGCGATTTTGGACTTGCCTCAAGTAAGAGAAGGCTTGCAAGTTGCAAAAATCTCGGCAACAAATATTGCTGAGACACCACCTTCAAAGAGACTGTGCGACTTCTTTCCGCTTCAGTTAATCTCGGGATCTATTTACAGATCCTGCTATCAATTACGAGTTATCGTACGCTTTCATACTCGGATTTGAACTTCTTTTCCAGCAATCAAATCCCTCTTTTCACTCGGCCTTTTTCACACGATATTCTTTGACTTTCTAGTTGAGAGACCATCTCTGCTTATTTCAAGCATTCGATGTCCACTTCATCACTAAACTATCAAAGATAATCTCAGGTTGTGAATCTTCACACACTGTAGCCTTTTAAAGATAACGCGATGAAGAACAAACCGTGATTTTTCTTTCTTCGACTTAACACTTATTGATGAGCATGAAAAAGTTCAAGAAAGAATATATACAGGGCCTATTTCTTTGTAAGCCTTCTTCCAAAGTGTCCTTACTCCTTTTCTGTAGCTATAGTGCTTCTGAGCAGTTAATCTGCTCTGTTTTCAATTTCATTCATATACTTCAGAAGAGCATAACCTTTATACAGACAATAGTAACAATGACAGCGATAACTGCGGGACGAGGCCCATTTCACAAGCTTCTTGTCTCATGATCTCTTTCGCGGCACAAAGTCGACAAACCACTTGCATTTGGAAAATGACTGCAACTACTTTGACGGCTTGGCTAAATGTGGACGAGAGAATTCCTTCTCATTGGTGTTTGATGATAACCTAGCACGTCTTGAGAAGGCGCTGGTGCCAGGAAGATTCGTGCACCCCTTCCTTCCAAATACTTCATTGACCACCCTACGTACCTATAAACAAATAAAAGCCGCTGTTTAGAGATAGTGTCCAGATCCTAGAAACTGGACTTCTAATTCAATATAGGGAGGCCTCAAAAGCAATGTGTGAGCGGGTTTGGGTCACCTCAATTAGATGGACTGAAGAAGCGGGGCCACGCAAGCCATAGCCCATCGACTGCAATACACTGCTGCTGGCGCTAACAGATTGCTTCAGAATTTCAGCATAGCTGGACCTCAACTCGGTCTCTTCCTTAGGCCTAAGGCATACCTCTCGCGATTTTGCGAAATCGCCACATCCTCGCGACTTGGCGATTTGCCAGATGTCTAGAGATTAAGCATGCGAGGCTCTCAGATGCATGGGTGCGTGAATTCCGTAAATTGTAACGAACACAGCAAGTCTGGCCCAAGCAAAGTGCGTTACGACCAGCTATGGAGAGTCGTTGCAGTGCCAAATCGCGCGGCGACTAAAATCGCGTGAGGTATGCCTTAGGTCTTAGCAAAGCAGGAAAAGGTGGCGGGACATACCGATGCGCAGCCAGTGACAGCGTCGCAACAGACACAATTTCTGCTGCCGTAAGGCGTAAAGCATACTTTTCCCGATTTCGTGAAATTGCTACAAGCACGCAACTTAGCGATTGCCAGATTTTTAAGACTAACTGTGCGCTGGTCGCAAATGCATAGGCATCAAGTAAAGCAGAGCGCCCTCACGACCGATTATGGCAGTTACTGCATGCCAATCACGCAGCGACTGATGTCGCGTGAAGTATGACTTAGGCCTAAGGACGAGGCTAAATTAAGAAACGGCTATCTTCCGATCAAAGCAATTTTCTTGTTTCAAAAGCGGTTCCGCAGCAGTCGACTGGTAATGGGAAGCCCGCTGCAGTGTTGGAATTGAAGTGCTTCCATATATGAAGAACTCAAAATCTTTGCTGCCCAGATTACTAAACACTCATGAGCAGACTCCAGTAGCGTGACATCTGCGTGAGTCGCCCCTGAAGTTGCTTTTGAAGCAAGCGCTTACAATCAGAATAAGCCTAATTCCACTTATTTTAGAGTGGACTATATCCGGAGGGGAAACGATCGAAAGTACTAATAAACTGTCACTGACTAATAAAAGCCACAAGTTCAAAATTAATCTGTTCCCTTCAGATTATCCTCCACTACTGGCGACCTTCGACATCCCGCCCCGAAGCACTAGTCATGTTTGCCGAATGGGTTTTCAAAAAGAACCTAGAGGATTTACGCATTTTGCACCTAGTGTCCAAAATCAGAGCTATGGAACTCCTAAGAAGGTTAACATGAGAGGCGCTTTCTGTAGGCGCTGTAGATTGAATTCTGTAGGCGCTGCCTGCGGCGCGTACACTCAGAATTCAAGCTCCTAAGAAGCTTGAATTCTGAGTGTACGCGCCGCAGGCAGCGCCTACAGAATTCAATCTATTGATTTTTGCGTATTCAAGCCTTTCCGACTTTGTAACTTATATATAAAGCTGAGTTTCTGTCTGCCTGTATGCTTGTATATTCCGAAAAAAAAAACATTTACTTCTGAACCAATCCAGATCAAACTTTTACACACAAACTTTGCTGCGGGGCCGGTGTCACAGACTACTCTACGATAGCGTTGATTTTCACTTATTCATTATAACATACTTTCAGCTACGGGGCTCAGAGTTGGCATAGGGTGGTAAGTGTGCAAGCTACAACGTTGATTTTCGAATTGTCGATCACCTTTACCACGGTTATTAATGGTTTCCTTCACTGATTTTATCGATTTTTTTGTAAAATGTGAGCGAGCGGTAATACGAATTTGCACAGAGAGGTAAGCAAATATAATGGTAACGGAAACATTGATATAAAAAATACCTGCTGCGTTAATCAAATTGATCGACTTTTCAAATTTTTCGCAAGGTCTGTCGAGAAGAGCTGGAAGTTGGTGAGGGTAAGTGAGCATGCTGATTATGAAAACATAGTAAAGGCAGGGAATTGGGAGGAAATAGTGGTTTTTATCATAGCAAGCCGAGGGTGCGGGGTATGTCAATTAGTGATAAACAACTAATAAGGCAGTCAATGACTTCTCTTGACAATTTGAGGCATGAATAGCATGGACTTATCCCCGTGTGTTAGATTTGGAGCTCATAACTCTATGAAGCACAAATTCCCCAAAAAGTCCGTTATTAAGGGCCTCTTTAATGTAACGCGAGCGAGCTCTCTCGATCTACTTTAGCTTCTGGAGCAAGACACGTCAAGAAGACTGGCATTGCCTGCAAAGACTTTTTGCGATAAGGAGACCTAAAAGTCGTTCAGCAGCCGAAATGCGCTGCGCGCAACACTTTGTGCGCAATCTTGACGTAGAAGAGCGCTTATCAAATGCGACTTGGATACTGTATGAAGGAAGTTTCTTTTTGAAACATGTAGAAATCTAGGAGTAGGGAAGCGAACTCTGCCAGTTTGAACCCGCCTTCGCTGGCAACTGGTCCTTTTGCTATATTGTTGCATTCGTTGCAGGACCAGTAGTCCGCTGATACGGTTCAAACTGACGGAGTTCGTTCCCTACCCGAAATGCAGCACCAAATCTGGTGAGACATTGCCTTTGAAGCACCGTCTAAGCGGAAAGTCATACGGTCCATTTGCGGCAGGTAGAGCACTGTCTCGCCGAAAGGAGGGGTCCCGCGCGGACATTGCAACAATACGCATCTCTACCACCCTCATTCGCAGCAGAGTATTTCGACTTTGAAGGCAGTGTCTCGATTTGAAGTGTACCGTTTCCCCTTATTCAGTAAAGGAATCCACTAATCAGGCCAATGCTCAAGTTTCGTCCAGTAAGGCTTCTTTTACTTCGAAAAATTGAGCTCAAAATGGCGCGCTGCGATTTTCGGCTCGCGCTGGACGACATGTCGGGTTCCCTATCGCGTTTCAACATCTTTCCAGTGTCACACTTCCGTCTTGACATGTCTAAAAAATATCCGTCGACGACCGCCTTACTGTGCATTCACACCGCGCGCGTGTGCGGCCCTTGAACCTTTCCAACTACATTACTGCAGCGCCCGGGGAATCCGCAGCTCGCAGCATCCGTGTCCTTTACTGTCCTTTGATCTTTTTTGTTGTGTAAGCTTTCCCCACATCGTTTTTTCATCTTTTAATCCCCTTTAAAAACAATAAACAAATACAACAGTTACATTTTCTCATGCTCACCAAAGGACCATTGCTCTGGGCAAGGTTTGAAGGAATACTGAGTTTTCTTCATGTTGCAGTTGTAGATATCATGGCGATTGGGAGTGCACGTTTATCCCAGTGTTTTATGAAGTTCAAGATGGAGGTGGACCACTGAAGTGATTACTTCAGCACTCCCAAATCAATGACATGTAGGTGTGCTAAAACAAACATCTGAGTGGTTTCACCTAAGGAGATGACAGAACAGCCATGGCTGCTTATGAAGAAGGACCGCCTTATCCCTAACTATGTTCGGGGCGATGCCTCACGATTCTGAAAGTGAGTATGGTAAGGGAAGAATTTAAGAAATGTGCCAAATCTCTTTTTCTTGGCCTTTCGGTATCCATCAAAGCAAAACTTGTAGGATAATTTATTATTGAGAGAACTTGAAAGAAAAAGAGAACGACCAACGGTTTGTAATGTTAATTAAGAAGAAAAAACGATGTGAAGCGCTTAATCAACAAAAAGGTTAAAGGACAGGAATGCTGTGAGTTGCAAATTCCCCGCGCACTGCAGACTGTAAAGCTGGAAAGGCTCCAAAAAGGCGGTACTCGCGGTGTGGTCGTCGATGGATATCTTTTAGACAGGGCGAAAGTCAAGGTAGACCGAAACAGTTCTCCGTTCGCTTCAAGTGGGCCCACAGGTGCGATAAGGTGAGAATGACTCGTCCAGGGTGAAGGGGTCACAGCGGTCGCAGCCTCTCCAGTGTGAGGGGTGTTTCACTTGGTAGAGAAATTATAAAATGTTGAGGGGGGGGGGAGCCATGGTGTTTTCTCAACATTTTTCCTAGTCAAAGTTCATAATTTATTCCTTACCATCACTGGTTATCGTTTTTCTGAATTGTGAACCGATGTGCTGCTGGATTAGCACACAATTAAATTTCTGACCAGCAACTTGCATTTTTTTAACATTTCCTTTCCTTTTTTACATCACCCTGCCTGTTTTTGGATTTATCATAGAAGACGTGCATGCGATAACATTTGTTTCGGAAAGGGTTAGACAATTTTTAAACATTTACGAATTTTTTAAAAGAAGAAATTCATAATTTCTCTAGATGAACAGCAACGTCAGCAAGGGAAATGTTTTTAAGACTACCTTGTCTTCCGCTTTTAGAGAATACATAATTTGCCTGGAGTCTGTTGAAAAAGTGCCTGGTGAAGAGTGTGGGTAGTGATTTCTGGATATTTACGAGTTTTTAAGATAGAAAAATCCAAATCCATAACTTCTGAAGATGAACATCTTGTACGCCATGATGGTCACCATTGAAACCGTCTTGTCCTCCGTTTTCAGAAAATATATACTTTGCCTAGAGTCCATTAAAAAAAAGTGCCTGGGTGAAGGGTGTCCTAGTGATTTTTGGAGATTTTCGAGTTTTTAACATAAAAATTCATAACTTTTGTAGATGAACATACTTTACAGCGAGATGGTCACCATTGGAACCGCCTTGTCCTCCGCTTTTAGAAAATATATATATACTTTGCCTGGGATCCGTTAGAAAAAGTGCCGGGTGAAGGGTGGGTGAGACTTTTGGGGGTGCTCGAGTAGACATCTTTTTACACTGGTAAAAAAGCCTGTACTTGAGCGCTCCCATTATAAAAGTCTCACCCACCCTTCACCCAGCACTTTTTATAACGGACCCTAGGCAAAGTATATATTTTCTGAAAGCGGAGGACGAGCCGGTTTCAATGGTGACCATCATGGCATACAAGATGTTCATCTACGAAATTTATTAATTTTTTTACGTTAAGAACTCGAAAATTCCCAAAAATCAGTTGGCACACCCTTCACCGAACTCTTGAACGGAACTCAGATATGCTATATGCTTTCTGAAAGCGGAGGACGAGGCGGTTCCATTGGTGACCATCTTGCCATAAAAGATGTTCATCTACAAAAGTTATGAATTTCTTTATGTTAAAAACTCCAAAATGTCCAGAAATCACTACTCACACCCGTCACCAAGCACTTTTTTCAACAGACTCCTCCTTTCCTATACATTGACAATTCACGTACAAATATTTCCTTTGCTTAACCTTACCTCACTGTTGATTTTTTTCTCGGGTTATGGTGAAGGGGGTCACCTTGGTCTCGGCTCAGGGGTGAAGAGGGGGTGAGAAAACTCTCACACTACACCTGTGAGTGGGCCTCCAAACAGCAAGGTTTTGAGATATTTGAGAGGATTTGAGCCTATATAGGAGTATGCGAGGTCGGAAAGACTTGTAGTTTGCAATAATCCGAAATCCAAATTTTGGTGAGACACTGGGTGTAACTCTGTCGGGACCGTAGCACCATACTTTCTGATGGGATACCACATTCGATTACTTTAGATTTGAATGTTTGACCGCGATGAATCATGTGCGCTGCCATTTTGGAGTTTTTACCTAACAATAAGAACTTTTGCCGTAGATTATCTAAATACATAGACTAGTCATACATGTTATATTTGGGATTGAGCAAGAGGTGTGGCACACAACTGCCGGATACGACTCCCTCCCCCCCCCCCGCACTATCATTTGCCTACCGTGGGCATGACTTAAAGGTTATACAAGCATGACTAGTAACGTATTCGTATTATCATGTCAGATAGCAATCGCGGGCCAAGTTTTAGCGAATTCTAAGGGTTCTTCATAATACAAGCCACACAACTGAAGTGGTCATTTTCAAACATGGTTAGCTATAACTCAAAAGTGCATTATCTACCTCTTTTTGTACTCAATACAAAGCCCTATTTTCTGTTTGCTCACATCAAGAATCCTGCCTAAATTGGCCATCAAACTATGGAATTATGAGCCAGTCAAAATCTCATCTGTCCCATTTTTCCTTATGGTGGTTATGCTTTCAGCAACTATTGCTTAAATGAAAGAGGACAAAAGTTCAAACACTTCTACGAAAACCACGAAATTTTCGCTTTCGAACCTTTTACGTGCTGTTCGCTAAAAGTCTCTTTGGAGGTAATGGCTGCCACAACTTTTTAGGGGTTGCGCCACACCTTAATAACTCACCTTCGAAGCAGTCAAATATCTGTGTTTTGATATCATTGCCACTGCTAAACCTTCTTCTCTACAAACTAGAAATTTGGTTCAACGTTTTTTCTATGAAAATATATGTCACTTTTACTTATCTACGCAAATGGAAAACGCTGCGAAAATATTGGTCGGTAACATGCTAAGTCTGCGCTGAAGTTAATCGCAAGGGAAGGCGGCAAGAATAAATATATTCGAAGGCTAAACCTAATGATGCTTACAAAAGTGATTCAAGCTTGATTGGTCTTCTCTAATTTGATAGTAAAAGCAAAATGGGACAAACGAGATTTTGGCTTGCTCTCAATTACATAGTTTGGAGGTTATTTGAAGTGGATTCCTAATGTGATCGAGGAAGTGTTAGTTCTTTGATTGAGTGTAAAAAAAGTAGTTAACTCACCTTTGAAACAAGCTTAACATGTTCGAAAATGGCCATCTTACTTGTGTGGCCCAATATTTGGAAATTTCAAAATTCGCTTGAAGGCCCACAGGGGTTATTTGATACGCTAATTACGAAAATGATGCTCTTATGTTTTTAGGGCTCTTTTACTATGCTTACTGTACGTTTAGGCTAATCAAGCGTGCTAGCATTTTGCATAATGGCCTATCTGACATTGTTGACGAATATGATGACATCGCCAGATTTAGTATAAACTCGACAACGACCCTTCCCCGCCCCTCCTGACCCGTCAATACGACCTCCCAGGTATGGCATGCCACACCCCACGCACCACGGTCATAATCCACATCTAATTACCGTTGACAATTCTGATATCCGCTGACTGCTTTAGCCGCCAGGTCATCCCATCAGAGCCCTGTTTGTTATTTGGCGGTGCTACTTTCACGTAGGCAACTCTTCATTCTGTATGGTACTGTGGTTTTTTAGAAGTGAGCATTTAGGTAATTAATGCCCAAACTGGTGGCACAAATGGGCCCGAAGGTTCATTCCTTTTGTTCGTTCGGTGTTGCCACTGTCGTGAGCGGCTTCCGCATTATTCATTATAGTCAGCGGCTTTCCGCTACTATCTAATGAACGGTTCTGCAACGTAGTGTACCAGCTTGGTCATCCAAAACTTGTAACCATTTTCCACGAAAGAGGCTCAAGTATCAAGTTTGCTTAAACACTGCCTTAAGTTCCAATATTGGTGAAAAATCTAATTAGTCGCTTCAGGGAACCCAAAATTTACTCGAATCCTAACATACAAGTTGCACTCTGTTCTAAACGCAAAGAGACCCAGCCGCCTCGCTGCGAGTTCGCGAAGCCGTCGCTTCCCCACACATTGCTTTCACTCAAAGGTCTCAGGCAAAGGGCCCATGTAAAAGTATTCTAGTAAAGTCTGGAAATAATAACTAACCTCTCTATTCATGACTAGGTAGATTATAGAGTTTATACCACAATTTGACATAAATACCACAGTAGTGACAGCATAGGCTTCCGGATACGGTATACCAATAACTGGATATACGAAAAATGTTAGCCACGTGATAGTATACGTAAGAAACATCAAGAGGAATTGCACGCAACATCTACGAAAACAAATTGTATTTTATCTTGTAATAATAGTAATTACGAAAATTAACCTCAGTTCCCTTTTGGAGCGAGCATCAGTGGGAGCGCCAACTTTGAGCACATAAGCGAAAAGCTGCAAAAGCGGAGCAGTTATTATAGATACTAACATGAGAAGGATACTAAATGACCTGACCACCATAATGATGTACATACAGGACTTATCAAACGCAATGTCGCTTTCACGACTCCGCGAATATGCTCTCTAATCACTTCCAATCGATTGGATCCATCTTTCCCACGCTCGCCCTGGGAAAGTGATTAGAGAGCATGTTCTCGGAAGAGATGCAGAGTTCATCGCGGGAGTGGAAATGCTGATGCAAGAGACACTCCGTTTGATAAGTCCTGTATCTCTAGATGAGTCTTGAAACTCTCATTTCAAATCCACTTTCGCTATCTGTTGAACGATTGTCTGAAACAAGTTATGAACGTTTTTCTACGAGAATTTGCACTGTTTCAGCAAGTAAAACTGTGAACATTGTCCAAATTTCTTGTTTCTCAATGGAAGATCCAAAAAATTCAAACTTGAAAAGCTCGCGTTTTAAGATATCGTTGATTCGCTGACTGCACGGACTGCTTGAACGCTGCGGACCACGCGCGGAGCGGCTGGAGTGTTGCGAGAGCACGATTTGTACAATGGCGAATTTGTATTGGGGCAAGCGTTCAACTTCGCGACGTATGCTTCGCAGTGACGTGCAGTCCGCGCAGTCGGCGAATCGACGATAGGATAATCCGTCTCACTTGTGTTCATCTTCTAAAACTCTGATATCAATATTTATGAGTGTGCTTAAATAAGCAAAAATTGTGCGAAAAAAAGCTCATATCTTATCTCAAACAACTGCTCACAAGGGAATGGTGAAAATTCGAAGTGGCCGATCCCAGCAAGCTGTATACCTTAAACACTCCATGGAGGGCTGGGTACTTATCCGCGTTCATTATCTGCTTTTCGGTCTCCTACACGAAGTTATGGCACTCCATTCCGCCGTGGGGCCGCCGCGCATCATAAGTACTGCTCGCCCATCTAGCAACCAAGGTGGAGTTTTTTTCTTTAATTTGAGAGTACGAGCAATTCGAATAAAAAAGCGCACTCAAGCCTTTTGACCGAAAGAATTTAGTGCGTCAAAGCAAAAGTTAGGTTCTTGATTATCAGTTTCAGCTCCACCTTTCTTGCTGCTTGCTTCTGTTCGTTCTTGCATTCCTATTCATCAACATTTTTCTTGCTTTCACCATGATCATCCTCATTCTCAAGAGAGTTTGTACGATAAAAATTAGAGCTTCCGAAGTTTTAAGATGTTAAACTATCTTTTTAACCGCGCTAGGGACCTCGCGCTAGCAATCTAGATATTGGGAATAGGTTGCAAAAGATTAGCAAGCAGAAGGAATCGAACTTGCAAATAAAAGGCCGCTAGTCCTATGAGTCTGCACACTTACCGCTGCGCTATGAGCACAGGTGCGATAGTGTGAGAATTTTCTCACCCCCTCTTCACCCCTGAGCCGGGACCAAGGTGACCCCCTTCACCATAACCCGAGAAAAAAATCAACAGTGAGGTAAGGTTAAGCAAAGGAAATATTTGTACGTGAATTGTTCATGTATAGAAAAGAAGGAATCTGTTGAAAAAAGTGCTTGGTGACGGGTATGATTAGTGATTTCTGGAGATTTTCGAGTTTTTGACGTAAAAAAATTCATAACTTTTGTAGATGAACATCTTTCACAGCTAGATGGTCACCGTTAGAACCGCCTCGTTCTCCGCTCTCAGAAAATGTACAGCAGGTTTGAGATCCATTCAAAAAAGTGCCTGGTGAAGGATGTGCCTAGTGATTTCTGGGAATTTTCGAGTTTTTAGGATAAAAAAATCAGTGACTACTGCCGATGAATAGCTGGTGCAAGGAAATAGTCATCCGGAACCGCCTCGTCCTCCGCTTTCAAAAAATATACAGCATGTCCGAGATCCATTCAAAAAAGTGCCTGGGTGAAGGGTGTGCTTGGTGATTTTTGAAGATATTCGAGTTTTCAACATAGGTAAAAGAAATTCATAACTTTTGTAGATGAACATCTCGTACGCCGAGATAGTCGCCATTGGAACCGCCTTGTCCTCCGCTTTTAGAAAATATATAGTTTGCTTGGGGTCCGTCAGAAAAAGTGCCGGGTGAAGGGTGGGTGAGACTTTTATAATGGGAGTGCCCAAGCACAGGTTTTTTTACCATTGTAAAAAGACGTCTACCTGAGCACTCCCATTATAAAAGTCTCACCCACCCTTCACCCGGCACTTTTTCTAATGGACTTCAGGCAATGTATATATTTTCTGAAAGCGGAGGACGAGACGGTTCCAGCGGTGACCATCCCCGCGTACAAGATGGTTAAAAACTCGAAAATCTCCAGAAATCACTAGGACACCCTTCACCCAGGCACTTTTTTTAACGGACCCCAGACAAAGTGTATATTTTTTGAAGGGGAAAACGAAGCGGTTTCAATGATGACGGCTTAATCACGGCGTACAAGATGTTCATCTTCAGAAGCTACGGATTTTTTCTATCCTAAAAACTCGTAAATATTCGGAAATCATTACTTACACTCTTCACCTGGGATTTTTTCAGTAGACTCCAGGCGAACTATATATTCTCTAAAAGCGGAAGACAAGGTTGTTTTAAAAACATTTACCTTGCTGACATTGCTGTTCATCTACAGAAATTACGAATTTCTTGAAAAAAATTCGTAAATGCTTAAAAATTGTCTTTTTCCGAAACAAATGTTCTCGCATGCACATCTTCTATGGTAATTCCAAGAACAGGCAGGGCGATGTAAAAGAGGGAAGAGGAAATGTAAAAAAATATAAGGTGCTGCTCAGAAATATAATTGTGTGCTAATCCAGCAGCATATCGTTTCACATTTCAGAAAAAAGACAAACAGTGATGGTAAGAAATTGGAAATTATGAACTTTGAATAGGAAAAATGATGCCCCCCCCCCCCCCACCGTCGACATTTTATAATTTCTCTACCAAGTAAAACACCCTTCACCCTGGAGGGGCTGCGACCACTGTGACCCCCTTCACCCTGGAGGAGTCATTCTCACCTTATCGCACCTGTGGCTATGAGTGCACGTTCTTTGGTAATGTTGGCGAGCAGTACTTATGATGATGCGCGGCGGCCCCACGGCGGACTCGAGGGCCATAACTTCGTGTAGGAGACCGGGAAGCAGATAACTAAGGCTGATATGTACCTAGCCCTCCATGGAGCATTCAACGATATACAGCTTGCTGGGATTGGCCACTTCGAATTTTGACCATCCCCTTGTTAGCAGATAGTGAAAGCAGATTTGTAATTAGCGTTTTTGAGAAGTATTTACTGATATGTGCATCTTCGCGAATGGCCACGTTCACTATGTATCCTTCCCTTGTAAGTAGAAATCCTCCTCTTACAGCTATGTAAGATAAACCACAATATGCTGAAGTAGTGATGTCGAGTGGTAAATCTACGCGATACATGGAGGGATTTCCAGCGTTAGGATTTGTTATAAGATAAGAGTAACCAAAGTAGTTTGGATCAGGGGTTATCCTAAGAAGCTTTTGTCTTATCAAGATAATCTATTGTAATCGTCAGTAAGGCGCACGTTCAGAGCTGCGCCAAACCGATCGATATGAGGCGCCGCCCAGAACGGCACGACGCTGGAACGGCGTTGGCGCAACTTGAGCATACGGACAACTCTGCACGAGCCTAAGCAGACTGTTACCTGCAACACGGTGACAATATTTGTGAGTAGGTGACCATTCCGGCTGCTGCACAACAGCTCAATATAATGAATTTGAAAACTCTTGACCTGGTGAAAAAGGTTTTTGATGGGAAGCATATGACAACGAATCTGAAATGAGAGGGATAGAGGAGCACGATATACACGGTACATTTTGACAAAATTTTAGTTCTTGGCTGTTCACATATCATCAAAACCATCAAAAAATTGACCTGTTTGTAGCAAACAACATTTGCACCAACGATCCAAGATACCATAATCCAAGAAACCATGTTGCTGCTATCGTCACACCCAGCGAGTTTTGTCCTTCGAAGAACCATTTCTAAATGAGAAAAGTAGAGCTCACTGTCGATCATGAGACGATGTAACCTACACCAGTGATGATCGCAGGGCCAACATAAAAAACATGCAGAATTTGTTGTAAGATTTCGAAAAATATGTTGAAGTTGGCTAGTATATGAACAGAGTTATCTTTTTTCAAATGTAAACGACCTAAATATGGAAATGTGTTTAGAATCTGTAAAGTAGATGCAAAGAAGAATTTTAGTCTTTGTAGATATACCTTTTATGATGCAAAAGAGCACAAAGATATTTGTACACAACAATATCCAAATTTCAACATTGATGACAGCACCAATCACCAGCCTAAGCGCATTTGCCATCTAAGAATAAGAATTGATTAGTAGGAAGGAAGTGATCAAGACGTAGCTGATTCGAAAGTCAAAGCAAAAAAGGAGCAAAGGAGCGAAATTATTTCATTGTAAATTCGCGAAGGATTGGATTCCCCTCATACTTATGGCTACAATTGCGTGTGACCACGACGTGCCACCGCAGTGCCGGAGTCGTGTCGGAGTTGTGCCGACAGATGTCGATCAAAAAATACGTTCTTCGTGCCCATATTTTGTGATCGTGACTTGGATTGCAGCATGGCTCTAATAGGGAGCCCATTCAGTGTCATTCGCTGGGACGGTGCTGGCACGACGCCGGCACAAGTACAACTCTGGACTTCTGGCAGCTTGAAAAAAATAAGGCTTTTTTATCTTGAATCTTCGAGCAACGAGGAAGAAGTCCCATTACGAAAGGTTCCCAATGATATCACAGAGTCATATTTACAGCGACATCCTGGGCATTCGCACCTGCTCGCTAGCCCGAAATAAGGCGAAGCTGCGTACTCCTCAAGACAATCATCAATGCTACCTCGCCATTTTTTATCATATACGCGGGTACGAAAGAAGAAAGAAATGTCCTTGATGAATTGGCTATATGAGCTCTTTGCATCTCTAACGTTTTTTTTTGTTGTTTTATTGTATATGTGAATGCAGCCAACAACCGATAATACGTTAACATGTGGCGGATGTGTGATGTTCCTTTTTCGGGACTTCAACTATTGAAAAATTGAAGACTTATAGGCAGTGCTAAACCTAAATCTGCTGCCGGCAGATTTGTCTGAGCTCACTGAAAATCGTTGATGAGTTCTAAGTGAGCTACAGCCAAGCTGGCTAGCACGATTCATTCGTAGGGGTTTGAAGTTTAATTTCGACTACGAATGAAACAGATGAGGCGCTGTTTCAGCATTAGCTTACAAGGCTATACAAGGAGGTTAACAAGTTCTAATTTGAGCTAGTGTGCAACTGCACAGAAAATTCTGGTTTGCGCAAATTGAGTTCAAGTCGACTACTTGAAGGCTATACCTTCTGCCTAAGAACTTCTTCACTTTGAAAATATATTTGAATAACCAAAATCCGACATCTATGTAGAAACGGATTTTTGAGTGACTAAAGGTAAGCCAGATAGATAGAAAATGGGAAGGAATTAGGAGATAAAGCTGCTGTTGAATGAACACGGGGCTCCATCAGAGAGACCAACTTACTAATCTCCTCCGAAGATTTTAGGTTAAAGAAAGGAAAACAAGATGGCTCACAACTACAATAAAAGTATAGCTGAGACTCAAGGATTATCACACCGTATACACACTTCTGCTTATGGCTTTGTTAACTAAAAGCTTCATTGTTAACATGGGCAACCTATCATTTAAGCCAACATTGTATAGAATATTTACAAAAGGTCACTCAGGTGTACGAGAAACAAGAGGCTAAAGTCCTGTAGTTGCCGAAAAATGTATAGTAAAAAACTGATACATCCAAATATTGCACTAATTTACCGAGAAAACGAAACTTTTTCAAAAATTTTAAGTTAGTTCACAGCATTGAAGATGGAGTTATAGGTATAAATACTTCAGCAAGCTAAACCAGCAATGAAACACATGTCATGTTGATTTCCTCTAGGAATGCCGATAAGTCCAATATGTTTGGCATAGCAACTCGGTTAAAGCACTTATTTCCAAGAAAAAACCTAGAATATACCATCATCAACATAAACCTGAAGGAGCTGCTACCCGCGAAAAAAATTCATCTAATTCAATAATCAAAGAGTCATGCAAAGAAAATCCGAAATTTTTCAACTTTGTTAAGATGATTCTTGCGCAGAAGGTTTAGCGATATGTAAATGAATGCAAATCAGCTATACATGTATCTTCCAGTGGCGATCGCAGGATTTCCGTCCGGAGGAGGTGGGTGGGGGGAGGGGAATTTTTCCAAATGAAGGTGGCTGCAGCCAAAGTTTAAAAGGCTAATTTGAACTCTTGAAAAATTTTCAAAAATATTTTGATTGTTTACACAATTGCAATTTATATGATTTTCTGAGTGCACAGCTTACCTTGTTGTTACTTAAGTGTCCTTTCAACATCCCAAATGCTCCCTTTAGACAAATAGAGCACTGAACTTAAATAATGTAATAATGTCAAGATAAAATTAGTTTCAACCAGCACTATAACGTTCGTTTTTTTGTTTTGTATAGTTAAATCAGCTCTCAAGCACTTCTCCTATGCGCACTACAAATATTGGTTCAGCATCTATAGACAGTGGACTTTCATGTAAGGCAATTATAACGATTATCATTATTCATGCAGGGCCCTGCCCAAAAGTGGTGATTTTCAAGGTGGATATCGATTGTATTATAGGAAACGGCAAAAGGCAAGGGGTACAAGGGAGAGCCTTGAAGAAGCTGTTAGATACTACAAGAGGGGTAATACGACAAATTAAGAAAATTTTAGAAATTATGTGATTGAAGAGTGCGGACAATTTCTAAAGTGTCCAGTTGCGAGCCCTGAAAAAGTAGCTCCCTGCAACCCACGAGTAAAGGCAACGCTAAAATCTGTTTTTATACAAAATGGCAACTGCCACCTCAAAGCCACCGCGAGGTGGGAAAATCTCCTATTCACATACGTCAAGAGACGTCGATTCGTTGACCGCACGGACTGGACATCAATGCGGAGCACGCACCGCGAGGAAAAACTTGCTCCAATGCAAATCGCCATTGTACAAGTCGTGCTCTTGCGACTTTTCAGCCTCGCCGCGCGTGTTGCGCAACGTTTGAGCAGTCCGTGCGGTCAACGTACAGCAAGCGTAGCGGCAGTGGAGGCGTGCTTCTGGCTGGCAAGAACAGAACACCAATCAGTACTAAGTAGTTTATCGTTAAGGCATCAATGTAGACAGAGGACAGTATATGAATAGTCGGTAATAGGAGATCATCGGTGGAGTAGTTGAGCATGGAGATTGGATAAGGCACTGGATCGGGACAGCATCAGCCAGAGTCGTGGAGGGGTACGGTAGGACGGCCGGTCGGTGTCGGGGCGAAGGAGCGACTCCTCGAGTCTTCGTATCGTCGGTCACGCCCTAAACATATGAATCATGTCTTCTGGCATTTCATCGGAGATGCAAAAGCATCTCCCTTACAGTACGATAGATTTTCCGGTAAACATATGCGTCTGTAGAAGCGGCACAACTTGCGCAACAATTGCCGCGCGAGAAATGTTGCTTCAGTGCTTCTTTGCTCATGCTTCATTTTTCAGGTATGCTTTGATCGACTAAGAGTAGAAGACAAGTCAGAAAGCAGCTTTTGTTGTTTTGACCGGCCACATCGACGTTTGAGCTCAGTTTTACGTCGGGAAGAGATTGTGATTTCTGTGATTCCTGCAATTCCTGCGATTCCTGTGCTTCTTGTGAGTCCCGCAACAATGTAAACTGCGAAAAACAATGTATACTGAAAGTCGCAAAGCGCTCCGTAGTGCGGCACATCGGAAGTAGAGAAATCACAGGAATTGCAGGATACGGAAATAGCTGGAATCATCTCTCGGAATAAGATGGTCGGTCCCGAAAGTTGCATCGCATGGAGTGTGTTTGTGACGTAACTCTTCCTTTCATCTCTCTTCTGTCAAAAAATGTTTTTTTATCACGCTCTAGACACGTACTTAAATCTATATATGGCTGCTCTGTGCCCCATGCCCCAATGAGATTCTCTACGGCGCGCAGAATCCTCGTTGTTGGAGCACGCTAGACATTGTGAACTTGACTTTTCACAAAGTACCTTTAGTTGTTTTTCATTTTGTCTATATAACAATGTCTCTGTTCTAATGTGAGATGGAATTCCGTGTAACTTCTCAGTATAGTTGGGAGCTTATGATAATACAGATATTTTGAAGTTTGCTTCTTTTTGTGTAGTGTTAGAACGGTTCATTGCCTTATGTATTTATCAAAGTTTGTCTTTTCGAGAGTTGGAAAACAACATCATTGAAATCTCTTCTTCGCAAGTGCAGGCAAGTTGCGTTGAATTTTCAGTCTAGCTTCCCTCATTGCACAAATTCAGAACTTTTATCTAATTGCTCTATCTGGTGCCCGTTGGCTTCTAACGAAAACCGAAGAGGAATTTTCTTTTTTTGTCTAACTTTACGAAACTTTTGTATTTGTCTGATATTTGGAACTTGCATTGCAACGATTTTGAATGTCCTACTGACCTGAAGACTAAGTCTGATTCGAGACGATTTTGGAGGCATACCTGTTCTTCATGAGTGTCTCGCTATTGAGCAGCTATTTGCACCTTTCAAGGAGTGAGAACTATAGGCTAGTGGTTGGTCATGTTAGGGAGTTATCAAAGCAAAAAACTACATATATGATACAAAGCCTAGCAATGCATACTTACACCCTGAATTTTGACACGAAGAGCTACGCGCGTTGGTGATTAAGAAGCAGTCCCTGACTCATATTTAATCAGTTGTTTGTAGGCAGTCATAGATAGCAACATCAAGGTGTGAAACATGCACTGTTTCGGCTGTAAAAAAACCTATGTATTTTGTCAGCCCACAGCCTCACCACAAATTCATCCCTACACCTTCGCATCAGTGTTAAACAGCGATTCCTTAATCAAACGTGCAAGACGGCTTCTGTGGTTTATTTTACAAAAAGAGTTTATTCTACATGTTTTGGTAGGAGGACAAACTGACTCACAAAACAATTGTCATAAAGCAGTTTTTAGTTAAAGGCACCAAGATGGTTCTTGGGAAGTTTTACTTTTCTCTCTCTTTCTCTCACTCGGGGACTACTAGTAGGATTTGAAACTAATATATGAATCGTACCTGCGGTGAATATAGTGGGAGAAACCAGTAGCGAGCGCTGGAGTAGGTCCTCGGATTGCGTCACCAGCATGACCGGCACCGTGAAGCTCGAAGAAGTGTAGCACGGCACATACGTTTCGGTTCCAGGTTGTAAAGGTGTTGTTTCTGAAACACGAACGATTACATCTCCTTCTACTTCCGCTTGCAGCCGTTGTGACACAGCGCCAAAGATTCGGATATGCTCGCCATTAATAGTAAAAGTATGGTTTGTGTAATCGATGGACCAAGGTGGGAGTTGAGACAATACATTATTACCTAGGATGAGGTTAAAAGAGGCTGCATGATGAGGAATTGAAGATTCAACCGTAAAATGTACGGCAGCAGAGATGTGATATGACCCTATCTGGAGATTAAGACGCGCGCATCCTAGGAGACCTATGGGTATGCCCGCCATTCCGATGGCGGTGTCTACTGAGCTGCGCTCGAAGTGGAATATACCTACCAAGGTTGCCAATTCGCGGCTTGCGACAGAGATAGCGGCGCCAGTGTCAATAAGGCCTAATAGCGCTATACCGTTCGCTTTAGTAGGAATTTGCGCCACAAAGAAGTGGGTATTATCATACAAGGATAAGACGTGAACCAGAGCTATTGTTAGCTTCGGTGGCCATGCGTGCGAAGAGTCTAGCGCAAGACGAGTAAGCTCGATTGGTTGTTCCTCTAAGGTATTTGCTAAAGAAGGTATAGGAATTGGGCTGCTAGAGGATGAACAAATAAAAGGAAGCGGGCGCAGCGGAGTGTGCGAAGTGGAAGGAGTTATACGTGAGAGAATGCTAGCATAGGATACGTTGATATACAAAAGAAGTAACTTCTTGAGAATTGCTAGAGTCACAGCTACGCAGCAAATAGTTATCCATGCATTATATGGAGAAAACCCTATCAGGGCAAATAGAAGAGAAGAGCTGCTACCAGATTGGGAATCGAAAGAGGCTTGAGAAGAGTAACCATTGCTACTTAATGCACCAATAATTTTGTGAAAATTCTGAGCTGTCCAAAGTTTTTGTAACTGATGCTCTTGCACGAGCTCGCTAAAGTTCGTAAGCACTAAATTATGAAAGATTGTAAGAGATGGAATGAAATTAACCTCATGGGGAACAGAAGCCAATGAGATATTGTGAATGTGTAGATTAGATATTTTAGAAAATGAATAGGAAGGTGCATCATACTGGAGAACTCCATCAGGAAGAGAGGAGTAAAAGGGGCGGAGTTTGGCGCAAGGTAACGGGTCAGCGTTGGAAGTAAGCACCCAATTATGTGGATCAATGAAGGTGACCCAAGAAGATCCACTAGGTAAAGTCAACTGAACTTGGGGTTTGGTATAGCATGTAGAATTAAAAGGTAGAATACGATAGTTAGTTTTAGGAATACGTATACAATTATGGATTTGCACAAAACCGTTACCTAAGTAAGAGGCTGCAACGTCAATGCGATTAATTAACTTGCGCACGGTATAGGTTGGATCGGATTTGAGAGAAGAGTGAAGCGAGATAGCAAGAGTTAGTACGATCACACAAAGAAGCCAAAGCATGGTGAAAAAGAGTGGTGAGAGAACCCTGAACGCTATCCTCTACAGCTAGCAATTGTGCTGCGAGTTGATTGGATGTTAGTATCCCTACTTGTGTCTGCGTGGAACGTGCTAATCGCTTAGCTTTAGCAATTGCATAACCTTGGTCAGTAACTGTCAGGGAATTACCGCAGTCAACTAAAGTGGGACTGTCACTACGCCATAATAAAGCAAACTCTTTCGAGTCGCTTATCCAGATGTTTCCTAGCAAGTGGCCGCGCATTTTGGAGATGGGAATATATGCGCAAAGTTCTTCCTGAGCTGGGGTCCAAAGTAGCACCGACCCGTCTTTAAGTGTGCAAAAACCATCCTTGTACGAGCAATGCCGGAGATCACCGACCGCAGTGTCGGGGAACTGGGACCCGTGACGCGCATGCACCATTGTAGGGGTTAGGTAACAATTAGTTACTGTTAAGTGATGGTCCGAGCAACAGCCAAAAGGTGCTGAAGGAAATTCAAAAGTGAGAGGATTATCTGTCTTAAAAGATTCCCCTGCCGGACGCATAACCCCAAACTCGCATTTATGGTGCTGTTTCATCTGCCTACAATGTTCTACTGTAACGGTCTTATAGGTTTCTGTATGTGTTTGATGGCGCGCCCCAAAAAGGTTAACGGAATAAGTTACCGACTGCTTAACTATTCTACATAAAGTAGCTGGAGTGTCATAGCGCTTAGAATTAGGTCGGTAAACATGAAGAGTAGCGCGAACAGGGGGATTAGTTACGTTAGGAATTATATAGGAGCAGTTATATGTGAGAGGGATATGACTAAGTGGATCAGATTTATCGTGTGGGCACAGCCACACAGGCTGAGAGTAAGCAGAGAAGATACAGCAAGACATAACAACAGAAGCGAAAAACAAAGCATTAATTTTAGGAAGAGTAGATGTGGAAGATGATGTAGAACAGTGACCAAAAGCTGAGTGGGCAAGCTCTTCGTTTCGTTGCACAAGTGCCGAAATGCGAGCGTTAGAATTTTCGAGAGCTGCCTGATTTTGTTTCAAGGATAGAGACAAAGATTCGATTTGTTTACGTGCTTCTTCTAATTCAGTGTTAGGATGAGGAGAAATACTAAGCAAGTTAGGAGAAGCTCTACGGTTAAAAGTTGGAGAACGAGAACGGAAAGTAAATCTAGGGCTGCGCGATCTTAGAAAACGTGATGTGAACTTACCTGTTTGCTGACGTTGTCGCCTCCTTGATGGGCATTCGGGAATTGTGTGTCCTCGACCGCCACAGTTATAGCAGAAAATACCATTCGCCATGTTGTCCTGAGGCCTTCGTTCCATTAGTTCCTGAAATCGCACACGATTAGAATTTGGTCTTCCTCTACCTGGGTAGCTTTCCCTGCTGTAAGGACTTCTAGAGCGAAAGGGGTTGGAAGGACGCTGGCTACGGTTAGCAGTAGAATTATCAAATGAAGAACGGGTGAAAGGCTTAATGGAACTCACGGTCACCGGTTGAGACACCTGAGACGGGTGAATAAGTCGATCCCTAGAGGCTTCAGCCAATAGGTTCTCGACTCGTTCGGCTTCGGCCACTGCTTCCTCAAAAGATGACGGGTTAGCATACTTAACATGAAAACGTAAGTCAGAATTCAATCGTTGCAAAAATTCTTGAAGAAACACTTCATCATTAAGAGAAGGGTCCTTACCTGTTGCAGTACGTAGTAAGTTAAGAAGGCGAAAGGCAAAAGCAGAGATAGACTCACCCGCAGCCTGTCTGCACGACGACAACTCTTGTCTGGCATCCGCCATTTGCTTGGGTCCTACGTAGTGCTTGCGCAATAGGGCCACGATTGCGCCGTAGTCGAGCTTGTCCTCCGAGGATAGAGTTTCAACGCGTTCCCTGGCAACAGATTCTAAATGCGCAACTAGATAGTTAGCCCTATCCTCCGCTGTAACAATTTTGCGTAAGCGCATTGAGTCCTCTAGGCGGCGCAACCACAATGAAAACGATTGCGAGTTAGAAGTACCCGAGAATGGGACGATTCTGGACGAGAGCCCATCAGGGCAGCAAGTTGCAACCAATGGGAATTGTTCCATACGAGAACCCACTGCAAAAGACTGGTTAATCCCCTCTTAGAGATCTGAATTACCTTGATTCAGCTTCTCCGCCAGTTGCGCGGTAGTCTTCTTAGCGTCCCGCCAGGCGTTGACCAAAGCATCTGTCGTGGCACTCTTCAATTCCTTGGCGTCGCGTCCATGAACCACGGCAGAGTCCTCAAGGGTCGCCAACGCCGATGTCAAAGGCGCCGTAATAGCCTCAAGCGTCCAGGTGGGCTCGAGGTATCCGACGCGGGCTGCTCCACCTGCCCCTTTGAGCGAGTAATTGGTACCATGAAAGCTAAAACGGGATAAGCCCCAATATCAGGGAAGTTAAGAGACAAGAATAGAAGTGGAAGCCCAAACCTTGAAGAAAGATGCGAGAGCGAACTGCGAATTCTTCGTCAGTATGAAGCCAACTAAGTCTGATGACCTATTATATAGTTGCGCTGCTTATCAAATATTACATGGTAGCGCCAAGATATTTTCCTAGGGGGGTATCTATGTTTCTGATCAAAGACAGCAACCGTCATGCTAGAGAAAAACTTTCGTATATGCTAGGCATGTGTTATTTCTCGGTTATCTATGTTTTGCATCTACCCCGGATGTGAGAAAATGTTAGCTTGCTATTTGATATTTCCCCTACGACTTATCTATGTTTATGATCTGGCTGTAGATACGATTCGGAGCGCAAAGTCCCTAAGAAACAAGCTTGGCTCACAAAGACACAAAGAGCTGATTCAAATGAGCGTAAGCGCAAGTTGAATGAAGTTTCGTATGACGCAATGAGAAAGTGCTTGAAAGCTTAGCGCGAGCATGGAAAACATTCTCAGAAACAAAGAAGTTCAAATTATCGGCGCTTGAAGCGAGAGATTGCGAGCGAGAGAGAGTAGACTGCAAGAGAAATACAGTAAGATTAACTAAGAAGAATAGTTATATGAGTGAGATATTTAACTGTAAGTAATATACGAAACCACAAAATGAATTTCGAATTATGTCAAAAGCAAAGATGCCCAAAGATATCTTAATAGTGATTTACTAGTCAAGCGCGATGCACGCGCACGCTCAAACAGTCTACCCCACGAGAGGATTCAACGAAAAGTATAAGGAGGAACTAATGTGAGAGAGAGAATTCAAGTTATAGGAGGATATGACTGTAAAAGGAATTTATAAAAGCGTACCCTATTTCCTAGCTGATTGTATGGCGTAGAGGAGTAGACTGGAGCCGACCGCTAGCTAGACGGCCATCTGGGGAGAATGCGGCCAGAACTCTGCGCGCTAATCTGGAAGGGCCGCCATATGTGACTTACATAGTAAACAAATGATCGATCAACACCTTTGAGTTATATCACCTCAATGCTCGAGCTCACCTTACACCCTCAAGCGGATGTCACCTCGCGAACTACCTCGAGGCAACTCTACTGGACTCTAACACATCATAATTCCCAGCCGCCGGCAACACTAATATCAATTCACCTTGGGCGAACGCTTAGCCAAAACACAAGTCCATTAATCCGCGAGAAAACACAACCTCAACCCGGGGAGAACGCAGGATACCTTCCTGATAATACGCTGGGCACAACACAACAACCAATACTCATCTCCTTGGCGTTCTATTACCACTAGGTCCGGACAAAGCATCACCAGGTGTACGTACACTACTCTAAATTATCAGCAGAGAGCTGCTGATTCCGCGGAAAAAAAATGCTTGAGAAAAGAAAATCGCATTTTACCATTTTAGTTCAAGAAAAAGCGTTAAGCTACCAAAATTTCACGAGATCTGGGCCCTAGATCAAGGAAAAGGCAACTCAAAAAAGCAAAATTATTACAACTGTCTTTTCTCAAGAAAGTTCGCTAAGATACCGACAGGGAACCCACCAGGGCAAAAATACACAAAAACTACCAAAAAAAGAAAACTTATCTTCCCTCCGTGGCGGTGGAACCACTCGCTGCTACCAGTAAGCGTAGCGGCAGTGGAGGCGTGCTTCTGGCTGGCAAGAACAGAACACCGATCAGTACTAAGTAGTTTATCGTTAAGGCATCAATGTAGACAGAGGACAGTATATGAATAGTCGGTAATAGGAGAACATCGGTGGAGTAGTTGAGCATGGAGATTGGATAAGGCACTGGATCGGGACAGCATCAGCCAGAGTCGTGGAGGGGTACGTTAGGACGGCCGGTCGGTGTCGGGGCGAAGGAGCGACTCCTCGAGTCATCGTATCGTCGGTCACCCCCTAAACATATGAATCATGTCTTCTGGCATTCCATCGGAGATGCAAACGGAGATGCAAAAGCATCTCCCTACACCTCCCTTATTTACCAACAAGTCCGTCCTCGGACTTCTAATTAAGAAAAAGTATGCAAAGCAAAGTATATGAAAGAAAGTATATAAAGAAGTATGTAAGGAAGTGTATAAATAAAGGTGTAGTATATCATAAAATATAGACAGGTAGTATCTATAGATACCTATGAATATGAAAAAAAACGACAAAATATATATAATGAAGGTATGTATATATATATATATATATATATATATATATAAAGAGAACTAGTTATGAAAATCCCACCGTTGTCCAGGAGGAAGATACTGGTCCAGTTGAGCGGCAGGTACTACGGTATGGCGTTCTTCGGCCCAGGCCAACACTCGGTTCCAGAAGTTGATGCGACGAAGTGAATCAGTATGGCCCAGCACGAACAAACCTTGGCGGGAGCGGGTGAGCGCAACATTCATGCGTTTCTGGTCATCTAGGAACTCGCCAGAAGTAGGCTCAAAACAGCTTGCTGACCGACAACGGTAGAATGCTCTCTCGGAGATGACAAGGAACGGTGTCGCGGACGAGTTTGCATAGCGTCTTCCTGGCGTCAACGGATGCTGCCGGTTCGGAGAAACGGATTGCAGTGGACAGATTGTACCGCGATCGCGCGGAGAGCATCTCGTCATCTACCACTTGAGTGATGTCGAAAGAACAAATCGCGGGGGTTATCATCACGGAATCGGGTGCTCCTGCGAAAGCTGCGGAAAAGCGGCTAGGTAGGTTGTTCTTGAAGAAGATTCGAATGACGTGCCCCATAACAGAGTGCGCTTCCTGAGGGGTAACGAATGCGAACTCGGCGACTCGGAAGAAGAAGATGGCCTCATCATCGAGTGTGAAGGAGCGAGGGGCGCTTGCGCTTTTCAGAGCCTTCTCCGGATAACGTAGAGCTTGGTTAGACGGTTCGACGGAGTACACCCAAACAAGGTCTTTGACGGAAACGAGGGTTTTGTCGAATCCACGTTTGTCGGATTGGATATTGGTAGCGAATTGGTCAAGGACGATGCACTGAAGCTCGGGTCGGTCGGGTCCAGGTACGAAGAAATCCTTTGACTCCAAGATAGCGCCACGGCCACGGTTGACAGCGACTACTTGGTATAGGACAGGCCTGCGACCGCGTACTATCGGAGGAAGGAGCAGAGTAGGTTTCTCGCCAGCTGGGGTAGGTGGACGGGTATTCTCAACACTGTGATAGGCTCCATTCAGGAGATCGTCGCGGACGTCTTGGGAATGCCATCGAAAAGTAACCGCTGCTTCTAGTGTCTGCAATTCAATCACCGGGATGCGCTCGGGGTTGCCAATGCGCTGGACATCAACAAACGGAAAGAGCCATTTGGTGAATTTGTAGCGTAGGTACCCTGAGTCGGGAAGGTGACGGTAATCCTCGACGGGCATCTCATTGGTGACGTCGGTCTCACGAAGGGCCGAGAAGATAAGAGTTCGCGGGAGGACCCACTGACCCCATGGGTGTGCGTCCATCAGCGGGTGCCAAAAGTCCTCCGGGGTCTCGTTAGGGGGAAGGGGGATCGTGCGCGGGGGTCGAATGTTCTCGCGCGGGCGCCAATGGTCATCGTGCCGGGCCAGTAGTACTGGCGAAGGATTCCTTAAAGGCAGCGTACACCCAAAATTTGAGTTACCGAATTTCCAAGATCTTTCTACACCGTGTATATATCGGGCCCAGAAGAAGACCAACTGCGTTGGTCCGGTCTCCCAATGTTGCTTCTGAGCGGAGAAAACCCCCCTCAATTTTCTTTCATGCCGCCCCTTTTCTTTCGCTCCGCCTCCTCTGGACGAATCCATAACAGCGTAAGCTGCAATTGCAGTTGCAGTTGCTGTTGCAACATCTGTTGCATTGTTTTGG